TTTGAAGAAGAAAATAGTGATCTAGAGCCCTTTCTCCAAAAGTTGGCTGCTGAATGCAATGCCATTATACAAAAATGGGATCTGAAAAAAGAATCAGAAATTGAAAAGAAATACCGAAACTGAACCTAAAGCCTGTAACAATAGATAATAAAATAAAAGCTCTGAAGCATTGCCACCAAACTAGAGTTAAGGTCAAAAAGAATAAAAAGCAGTATTTGAAATCTGCTAAAGGTGAAAAACTAGGTAGAATTAAAGTCAAAAAAGATGAAAATAATGAAATTAGAGTTGAAAAAAGCCCACCCAAGACACCTTCCTATTATTAAAAATCAGCAGAAATGGATAATAATAGTGAAATAATAATGACCAAGACCCAAATATCCTCAACAATCATCGCTGTGATGAATTGAAGCTATATAAAAATTCTTGGCATGACTATGAAAGTTTTGTAATATATTTTTCTAAAGCTAAAGATTGTTCTATCAATAAAATGATCTTGAATCTTGCTACTAAAATAGAATTAATATTGAAAGAATGATTACAACACATTCGTTTATTACCAAAAGTTTGCAGATATGGGTGATGCTAATAGAATACATCTGATTGAACCTGGCTATGAGAAGAAAATTGGAGCTAAAAAGATTGAATCAGATGCTGTTAGTAAGTCAGTACTACATGAATTGGATCAAAAAAAGGAAAAGGAAATACAAAACTCACCTATAAAGTTGAAAACATCACAATAATAAAACCAATGATGAAAGTGATTATGAGATATTGGTTGGTAATAACAGTAATGATAAGAAAGTAAATAGTAATCTATCTGAATGACTCTTAGAAAGAGAAGCCTTGCATTAAAATGCAAAAAATAGTTGAAAAAAGTTAATAAATTTTGGAAGATCACATGTATAGTAGAAAGACCCACTGAAATAAAGTTTATTAAAGAAATGTTTCAAGAAATTGGTGCCAAAACAGATTAAGTATGTGGATAGTATCAGAAAGATGCTGAAGGTGACAAATCGAATAGGCAGTTCAACTCTGATGGATTTTGCTATTGAAATAAGAGCTGTTTTAAAAATAAGAACTTTTTATTCAAATAATCTCATATTTTTAATGCTACTCCTGGTCAAGTTATACAAAGATCTGCTAAAATGGCTGAAAAACAAAAAAGATCACTGCTAGATGAATACATTGTAGAAATTAAAATCCAAAGAAGCTTGTCTAATAAAAATAGAAAAGAAATCAGGTTAGTAAGGATTTTGTAATAATAATAGCAGAAAATTTCTGAGATTTTAATTCTCTATTAATTATAATTTTCAATTAATAATATTTATACTCTCTAAGAATTGAAAAATCTACTAAAATTAGCTGATTTCTCGTGATTTTACATGCATTATAGTATGTAGAGATCACATCTTTTTGCAAACTGATAATTGCTGAATTATAATAATTATTAAGATTCTTAATAATTAATTGGTGTATTATAATCATCAAATTCTTAATAATTAATTGATGAATTATAATCATTAAAATTTTTAACAATTGATTGATCAATTATAATTAAGATTCTTAACAATTAATTCAGCAATTATAGAATTATGATCATTAAGAATCTTAATAACCATAATTCTGCAAACTGCTTTAATTGCTAAATCAATCATTAAGAATCTTAATGATTATAATTCTATCATAATTTAGCAATTGTTGAATTATAATTGTTTAGATTCTTAACGATCATGATTTAGCAATTGCTGAATTGTTATCGTTAAGATTTTTAACAATCATAATTCTATCATAATTTAGCAATTATAATCAAAAAATCTTAACGATCATAATTCAGCAATTGCTAAATTATGATAGAATTATGATTGTTAAGAATCTTAACAATAAAAATTCAGCAATTGCTAAATTATGATCATTAAGAATCTTAACAATTATAATTTAGCAATTGCAGAATTATGATCATTAAGAATCTTAATGATTATAATTCTGCAAATGCTGAATTGTGATCATTAAGAATCTTAACAATTATAATTCTGCAATTGCTGAATTATGATTGTTAAGATTCTTAATGATCATAATTCTGCAATTGCTGAATTATGACAGAATTATGATTATTAGAATTCTTAACGATCATAATTCTGCAATTGCTGAATTATAATCATTAAGATTCTTAATGATCATAATTTAGCAATTGCTGAATTGTTATCGTTAAGAATCTTAACAATCATAATTCTATCGTAATTCAGAAACTAGATAGCTGTGTGACATCATTGCGCAAAACCAGGAACAGAAGAAATTGATAGTGGTTAGGCTTGAAAGTTTAAAATAATAAAGCAAGGTGTAGTTAATTATTAATTTAAAAAATTACAGCATTTATATTTGAAAAAATATTGATTTAAAGTAACAACAATTACTTATTGTTTGAAAAAACACAAGCTATTTGATACATATTGATTGAACAAAATGAATTAAATGAGAATAAAATCATATGATTAAGTTTGCAATATAATCTTTATTCCTACTTATAGCATTTATTAAAAAAGGATATCAATTTTAATTATAACAATTAACAGGAGGAAATATACCTGATCCAAAGTGAATCCCACACATGGTGTAATCAATTGTGATAAATTAAAACTGAAATTATTTATATTAGTTTTGATTTATCACACCATGTGTAGGATTCACTTTGGATTAGGTATGTTTCCTCCTATTTCAACAATTAGTTATTGTGAAAGAATCTAATACTTGCTGATTAAAATTATTATTCGAATTATAATATAATAAAATCATACAATTCAGAACATAACTCATGCGTTATTCTCATTAAAAAAAAAAACAAATCCAGAATTGGAAAATTGTATTATTTTATTTAAATAGAACATAGATTCTTAACTAGTAAAGTTAATTATATTGCATTTAATTTAATTTTTTTTTTATCAAGTAGGGTTGTTTATTTACTTATGCATATTAAAGATAAATTATCAAATTAAAAAAAAGAATAGATTATTTTCTAAAATATATAATATTAATAAGTTCTAATAATTACGGGTTTATAATGAATGAGTCTGGATTAGATCTGTGCTAAACTTTTGGAAAATAAATCAGAACAGGGCTAAAAACCAGTTCAGATAATCAATTATAAAACATTCTTGCTTTAAAACATGCTAATCGAATTGTAATTATTAAATACTCTAATCGGTAAGGTCTAAATCAAAATTAGTAATAGCAACTATTTTTTAGATGATCGTAAAGTTTCTATACCACCAGGGCAAACTGGTTTCAAATAGGGCTAAATAAGTTCTTTAACTAATTCAAGATTAAACTTCTTATGGACTGAACCGGTAGAATAGTTTAACATCCCTAATGCTAATTCATATAGAGAAGAACTATGGTATACAATACATGATTCAAAAATATAAAATATAAACAAATGCTATATTCAAACAATTCATTGCTTAAAATTATTTCAGAAATCGATAATACTAAAATTAAAATTAGATTTTTGGAAGCTAGGATCTATAAATAGAAGTTAATTAAGATCTACAATACTTTTTTTTAATTAGAATAAAGAGAATACAACTTTAACGAGTTAGAATCATCAATTAAGATAATCTTTTAAGACAATCATAATTATAACATAGCTCAATATCAAACGAAGATACATCAAGTGAAGATACTATGAGAAAATAAAATTATAAAATCAGGTTATATATATTTCAAGTTAGGATGTAATATACAAATATGGAGGTAAGCGTTACAACAGATATGAAAATGTAATATTAATATGCAGTCACATCTTTGCTTCGCCTCATGCATTATCCAATCATATGCAAGATTTGCGTATGATATCACTTAATTTGTGATTTAACTATACACTACGTAAAATTTTTAATATCACTCCGTTTCTGATATTGCAGAATTATGATTATTAAGAATCTTAACGATCATAATTTAGCAATTGCTGAATTGTGATCGTTAAGAATCTTAATGATCATAATTTAGCAATTGCTGAATTGTGATCATTAGGAATCTTAACAATCATAATTTAGCAATTGATGAATTATGATTATTAAGATTCTTAATGATCATAATTTTGTTAATTGTAATCGTTAAGATTCTTAATGATCATAATTAGTTTATTGCTAGCTAGATGTAGATTGTTGTCAAAGTGGTGGTTAGCAAGTTCTACTAAAGATGTTATATAATAAAAATTATTAAATTTAATAGGCGTATATAAATTTATTGGACAAATAAATACTTTATAAAATTATAAAATTTTAAAATTTTAAATTTGCAAATATTAGCAAATTATAATCAATTTAAACTACATTATTAATAAATTAGCAATTTTAAAATACCACTTTCAAAATAAGATACTTCAAAAATTTTTGGTCTAAAAGTAAAAAGACAGATAGTAAAAATCAAATTTTTTTGTATAAAAAGAATACTAATTAAATTGTAAGATACAAATGTTAACTTATAGGTGAAAACTATCCTTTTTTACAAAACATAGATTATAATAAATTTTATCATTACCTGAAAAATTTTTGACATTAAACTGTGTTTTAAAATAGTTCTTGGAACTTCTGACATTGGGGTGTGTGATAATTTGATACCTATACTAATTGATCATAATAAATTTTATTATTACTTGAAAAATTTTTGACATTATATTTGTGTTTTAAAATGGTTCTTGGGACTTGTGACATTGGGGTGTGTGATAATTTGATACCTATACTAATTGATTATATAAAATTTAATAACAGTAGAAAAATAATAAATCAGAATACTTTTATAGAATTTTTTAAAATAAATAAATAAGTAGCAAAAGTTTTTTCAATAGCAGTTTGTAGCAAATACAAGGCAATAATACAATTTAATATACTGCGATAGTTAAAACTAATTATTGCTATGTTTTACATAATCTATGATCATATTAATATCATCTGTAGTATAGTATAAAATAGAATCCACACTATAATTTTAATATTGAATCTTATCTACCCCAATATTGCTAAATAATTTAAAAATAACTCGCACTTTATGTGTTCTCTGTCGCAAGTTCTCCTGTGTAATACCTGAAATTAATAGAAATATTTCATCATATAATTCAGTTTGTGCAGTATTATTTTTGTAACCATCTTCAATAAGTTGACCTACTCTATCTTCAAATACTTCAGCATAATTATACCAATTTTGAATTTCTTTTTGCTTAATTCGTAGAAGTTCCTTTTCACTATGATAAGCCGTTTGGAATAATTAAACTATTTTTTTTTCTATAGAATCTTCAGCACTCTCATTTACAATATTTACAGACACATCTATATCATCAGATGAGGCTACTGTGGTTATTTTTTAAATGAATTCGGCAATTGGTATCTTTTTATTAGAATTTTTAGCAGATACTGGATAGTTTGGCAACTATTTTGAAGATCCTTAACTCTAAAAAAAAATTTATTAATGTTAATAAATATAATTTTTTTAGATCTGCCTTACTTTAACAATCATTTCACCAACAACTCACTTAGCCGACATCAAGCCAAGTAACAATTTACTAATAATATATATCTGTAGCTAATAAAATACTAATCCTAACCCTATGTGATATCGGCTAAGTGAATTTTTAGTTAATAATTGTTGGTAAAGCAAGCAGTATTGTAAATATTTTACCTTTTGTGGTTCAGATTCCAAAGAGACTAAATTAATCTCTTCTTTAGATTTAGATTCCAAAAAGACTAAATTAATCTCTTCTTGAGATTGTTCTACAAATTCAAAAGAGGGAGATTGTTTTGAAGAGGGAGAATTTGTTGAAGATGCCGAAATTGTTTCTTCACTATCAATAAGTTGGAAGTCTTGTTCATCAATTTTTTATCGTATGCTTTTCAGGATCTTTTTGCTTGGAAATTTCTTGAATTAATGTTTGATTATAATAAAATTTATTT